AGATATTTTTTACTTTTTTATTTTTTGCAATTTCCAGTCTAGCCTACAGCCTCAGTGTTCCCTGGCAATCTTCCATCAAGTACTAATAAGGCCTGACGCTTCTCAGCATCCAAGCCCAAACAACAGAGCCCTAAATATGGATTGAAGGAGGAGGCAGAATTCTATCTGGAGAGGAGACCACATGCTGTTTCTCTATGAAGTCATCTAGATAATGTTGTACTCCATGAATTCAACCACATGCAAGTGTTGGGCTCAAAGCATTCAACATCATGTTAAACCACTAGAAACCATTAATCAGTGCACACCCAGTGACGTTTTACACCCGCCCTTAGCTTCTTAAATAAATATAGAGGCTTTTAGCTCAGGTACATGATGTCATCTGAACCTGGAGCAAATCCCATTGTTAGTTTGTAGAAGCTGGAATTTAACTTCTAGGACAAGCATGGTCATGGATTGTTTGCCATCTTTGATGCTGGCTGGATTCATGCAGACTAAACCCAAATCACATCATAGTTTACTGAATTATGAGACGCCAGTTTCTAAAAATTTTTGCTCTGTTCCATGATGAAAATTAACTTTCTTCTCATGTCATAAATACCACAACATATTTTACTGACTGCCCTTCCCGTCCAAATAAACAAATCCATTTACAGTGCTGCATTAAAAAAAAAACAGTTGCATTGGTAACAGTTGTATGTTGCCTACAAAAACAGACAACCTAGTGGATAATGCATTAAGAGTCTAGTAAATAAACAACTGAGAGAGCTCTGAAGGGCACCAAAGAAAACTGGCAAACATCCTTCAGAATTTATTTTCAAACTTATAATAAAATGTTTCCCCAATAGCATCTCCTAGCTGCCTAATCCTACAAACCAAAAGACCAAAATGACAGCACAGCTAGTCTCTACCCCCAGAATGGGCTTGGGGAAAAGAGTCCAGCAATGAGCTTCTTCCATTAAAAAAAGGTGATGGGGGTCTGTAGGCACTCCTCAAAAAAGCTCACAATTCAGCCAGACAGGAGAGGAAGATGCAGCCAAATGAGACCCACTCCAGTAATTGTGTCATGGATATTCCTTTTGACACTTGTAGAACCCTCGTTAGCTATAGATATACAGATTTTGTGAGCTGCCTGAGGGGGAATCCTTGGATTAGAAAGATAGGGTATTAATTAACTAAGCAGAAGGAGCTGTCTTAGATAGAGTCAGACCAATTATTCATCTAACCCAGATCTGTCTAGCTTGATTGGCAGCAGGTCTCGGGCAGCGCTGTTTCTCAGGCACACTACCTGAAAACCTTTCACTGAAGGTGCCACGAATTGATTTGGGGACTTTATATATGCAAACCCATCTCTGCCCCTGAGCTAAGTCCTTTCTCTCTGCCATGCTACAGTCACGGAAGCAACAGGTGTACCACCTGGAGAAAAGATGGCACTTTCTAAAAAAAAGAATGTTCTCCAATGATATCCCATTCTTGGCTATCCTCATGACTGCTGTCGCTTGCTGCTCTCCAGCCCATCAGTTCAAAAGCTGTGGTCCAAAACCAGAAAAATAATTAGCGGTTACTGGGGAATGGACAGCCAGATGCACATGGTATATATGCTCTCTCCTTACTTCTGAATAGGTGGCTGTGTAAGACAGCAGGCACACAACCAAGAAATAGCTGCCCGGCCCTTTGAATCAGCCTCCTGTTTGAAATCAGAGAGATCCCTGCTTTTTTTAGGACAGGACCTTCTGGAGGCCCTGTCTCTTCCCCCCCAAGCAGCGGTGGGGTTCAAATATGTGAACAATCGGTTCTCTGTGTGGGTGCCGCTTCTGGAAGTCCATTCTAGGCCTGGGCAACAAAAAATTAGCTACTGGTTTTGCTGTAGTGGTGCGAACAGGCTGAATCCCGCCACTGCCCCCCAGCATGTGGGGAGAAGCTGTGAGGATATCTGGTCTGGCAACTGGGGGAAGGGAAGGAAGGGTACTTTTGTTTTTAATCATAGTTCTATGGATTGCTGCGAGCCAACTAGAGTCATTACATAAAATAGGCAAGCCGTAGAATTCCTATTTTTTGTAAGCTGCCTAATGTCACTGAGTGAAAGGGCGGCCATATAAATTCTCTAGATAAATTAAAAAATAAAAAAAAGCAACTATCAAAGGATGCCCTCCATCACTACCCTGAAAGTTGGTCTTTTTTTCCCTCACTGAAACAATTGCGCAAAGTAGCATTCAAAAACAGCAAACATATTGAACATCATCCCGAAGATATAACCACACATTACACAATGTAATTTGCTTCTGAACACGAATGCAATCAACCCTGAATTGTTGTCTAGCTTTCTGAAGTAATGCTGAACGTTTTTGTCTCAATCAAGGCTACAGACTTCTTTTAATCTCTACAGTTTTTTGCCAGTTCTTCTCCTCTTCTTGATGTAAGCACAATGCAAGTTACAAACCTCCTTCCCTCAACCACACATACCAGCAATCTGGTTCAGTCAGGGAGATTTATGCAAGCATTCAAGGCTTGAATAAAATGACAGCTTATTAGTTCAGAACTAAAACATGTTGTATTAATATCCAAATGCAACCAAAATATACATGGATTGCCTTGCTTTTGATGTCTCATGAATATTTAGCCTTATCTCCATTTTGGAGCAGTTGGAGATGTGTGCAGGTAGTCTTTGATTTACGACCGGCCACTTAGCAACCATTCAAAGTTCTGATAAACCTACCTGGGGGGGTTACTTACAACCCAGATTCAAAGTTCCAGCCTTAGGCCTTCCACAGGATAACATGACTGAATTTCAGGTACTCAGTTAACCAGGCCACATCTACAGCGCCTTGCAGCATCTTGTGATCACATGACCGGGCTTTACAATAGTTTTGCTGAAAACTGACATTTATTTCTGGTGTTTGGCAAAACCACACTCATAGTGAACCATTGGTTCAATTAGCAACCACTTCAAAGGTCATCACATCACATGACTGACCCCATTTAAAGACAGTCATGAGTTACAACCAAGATGAGCAGGCTCTGTTATAGTCTCAAGGACTACCTCTAAATGCCCTTTTAAGACACAATTGGAATTTGAAGCAAGTGAACGGGGTGGGTTATTTATTGGTAGCATCAAGTATCTGCACATTCTGACCCGTCTCAGATTAAGTAGAAGTATTAGCAGGGCTACAAACTAATTTACCTTTTTTCGTTTCCCCTTTCCTGAAGGGTAATGGTGGAAAAAGATATATGTGTTGATTATCACAGAAATTAATAAACTTCATGTGCACATCCCTTGCACTGATGTGGGCATTGGGCTAACTAACTTTAACCTGTTCTGAGTGTTTGTTTGTTTTTTAACCTCGGCACTGATGCTGGGAAATGAACAATTCTGAATGAGGGGAGCTAAGGAAAAGTAAGTCAAGATATCAATCAAATAATGGCTCTGTCCTAAAAGATACAGAAGTCTCCATCACTTGTGTTCTGAAACTTGTCTTACACTACTTAACACTTTAGCTCTGGAAAATTTCTATGGACACCATGAATAGAATCCTTCCTATCTTCTGATGCCAGATTAGACAGAGAAAGGCAATTCCTCATTTTAGGCTGGATAGACTGGGAACATCACTATTTCTATGTCTTTGTCATGTTTGAAAATAGCCCCCTAATTAAATGCTTCTGATACTGCTTTTAAAGAGGCCTTCTCTCATTCTCTATGCCTTGGCCATTGGCCTGTTCTTATTCTACCAGCATCTTGGCTAAGGTGATCATGCAGACAGTGATGCATCAACTCCATTTACTCCGGATGAAATGAATAAGATAAATCCATTTCACTCTGGTGTTCAAGGTGCAGACTGTTCCAACTGCCTCTGTACTGAGGGACAAGAAGAGCTGCTAGCATTTTCTAATGGACAGTGGCTACAGTATCTTTCTGGGCATCTTCCAAAGGTCGGCAGCAATAGCTTTTGCAGAAGCTCGTCTTCTGCCTGGTAGAAAAATGGTCCAGCAGGAAGAGATCCTGGAAAACTACTGGCCTTCCCAATTATACTGCAGGCCTCTACCTCCTCCTTTTGCATTCGTGCAAAATGAGTGAAGAAAAAAAATCATTAAAAGGAGTAGAAAGATGGGCCCATTTAAATGCCATTACTAGGTTTTTGCTTTCCCAAGTATATCAGGCGTGAGAGCATCACTCATCAGAGGCTGCTCCTAAATCAGATGAGTGACAAGCTGTGTCATTTTGTGTTTAACACACAGATGAGAGAGATGCACACACACATACACAGACAATAGGAATAGATGACAGGCAGATGAGAGACAGACAGACAGACAGACATTGCTGTAAAGGAATGATCTGATGAATTGAGATAAAAATGGTGGGTGTAACCTGCTCTGACTCTCTTATGGATTTGCAATTTAAAAGTAATTCTGAAAACATTACTTTTAGACAGCCAGGTAACTGGTATACCCACAAATAAGCTGTTTTCCAGCTTTGACAGTTATATCAGTTGAACTCTTTTTCAATGGTTACAAACTTGGTAATTTTTGCACAAGTTCAAACTTTACAGTAGTGGAATGGTGTCAATGGGCACCAATATACCATGGGATATTTTCTTTGTGTTTAGTAATCTCTCCCCCTTCACACACACACACCCTGCCCCATTTGGTATTATACATAATGGAAAGATGTACAACAAAATGCCAGATTCTAATTTCACATTTATTTCCAAAAATGAGGAATATTTCTGAAAACAGGTCCTAGGTATTCTTAGAAAATGATGAATGAACAGCATCATTTTTTGGGAAACCCTCCTAACTCACCCCCCCCACCCCCAAAAAAGACTGAGCAACGTTGGAATGCTGGGCTAGAAATGTTAAAAGATCATCTCACCAGTGTGTCTCCTAGTAAAAGGGTGTTTTGCGACTACAAGGCACACCAGGGTAGCCATTCACGAGGAGGCAAGTCCCATTATGGCATCCATTCAGTGAAAGTGTTATGATGTTTCCAAATGTTGCTCATCTAGTAATTTTCACACTTAGCTTCTGCAGTATGCTATACAGAGAAGTCCTTGAAACCGTTTCAAAAAACTCCACTGATTCAAAATATGGCAGCCCCACTTTGAGCAGAAACAGGCCAAATTATGATTTTCCCCTGGCTACCACATTAGCTGATGGTGGATGGCTTTGACCTTTGGAACAGAACACTCCATCAACCACAGCCAACGGTGCCTTCTCCTCCATTTTTTCCAAGTCACAACCACTGAATGGAAACTTGCAGGTATCTTTGAGTAGGACTAAAGCATTTTCAGGGCTGGTTCTAGTACAGGTGGTCCTCGATTTAACAATAGTTCATTTAGTGACCGTTCAAAGTTACAACAACACTGAAAAAAAGTGACTGAGGACCATTTGTCACACCTAGGATTGTTGCAGCATCACATTTCGATCCTGTGATCAAAATTCAGATGCTTGGCAACTGACTCATATTTATGACGGTTGAAGTGGGGTCACTTTTTATGACCCTCTGACAAGCCAACTCAATGGGAAAGCCACGTTCCCTTAACAACTGTGGCAAGAAAGGTCGTAAAATGGGGCAAATTTCACTTAACAACTGTCTCACTTAGCCACGGAAATGTTGGGCTCAGTTGTGACTGTAAGTTGAGAGTTACCTGTATGCAGAATTCCCTCCCAAGGAAGAATCGGCCCAGCCCTGCTAAACGCTACTTTTTGTACCTCATAAAAACATTTTTAACCACGTTTCCACCATTTCTATTTTTAATCTACCTACATTTTATCATTCAGTTGCCAGTTGGCTTATTTAGTTTTTTAGACAGTTATTGGGTTTAATGTTGCACAGAAACTTATTTAATTTTATTGTTGGATCGCTGTATGGCTTTATTTTGTTTTAAGACAAACCACAGCCTGCTCTTAATAGAAAGGCAGCAATACAATTTCCATATCAATAAAAAAGTTTGGCTGGGATCTGCCAGTGCAAATCCAGTCGCTAGGATTTAAAAAAAATTTTTTGGGGAAAGGCCCAGGCAGAAAGTCAGTCATGAAAAATTGGCACTTCTATTCTTCTGACACAAGTCTTGTTAAATCAATGCCTGCCTACACTTCTGTAGTATACAAACCTTGTCACACTTGCAATCAAGACAGATCAAAGAACAATATCTGGAAAAATTCACAGCACTCAAAAGGCCATTAAATTCATCTCTGGGGGACAATTCATGGGGAGGGGGCTTGTCTTTTAAAGCTCAAAACAGGATTGGGAGCTAAGGCACAACCTGCAGCATTCATTATCAAGCAATGATCTAACACGGCATCCAATTTTTTGACACCCCCAATATTAGTTGCCGAACCCCAAGGGGACAGAGTCACAAGGGACTCCCTGGGACTGTTAGCAAACAATAATCCTTTTGAATTTACTTCTGGGATTTTGCAGTCACTTCTTGATTTTCTCTGCAATAATTATCAGGCAGGGAGGAGACGGAAATGGTGAGAGTCAAGTTCCTGCCCAGGGCCAAACAACACTGGAAAATTTCGACTGGTGAGAGCTACCTAAGGTGCTGTACGTTAGGCATGGTACTCCACCCTGCCAACCCTTCATTCAAGATCTTTTCATAAATGCTTCTTGGTTTCCAATGCTTAGTGACTGATGTTCTAATCGTCTATTTAAAAATCACTGAGCTTTTTAAAATACCCTGCAAAAAAAATAGAGTTTTGTTTCTATATATATATAAAAATATAGATAGATATAAATATAGATAGGCATTTGTTGAGAATTAAAAGCACCTCAGTTATTTTCATAGTTCCCAAATGTAATGTTCTCACAGTATTGTCTCATCCCTTTGCTCACGGCGCCTTGCTCCATCTGTTAGGCACACCAGTTCTGCATTCTGCTCTCCATCATCCACAACTCCCCACTTTCCCCATGCCTGATTTATAAAGAGGTGGCTTCATTGTTCAGCAAGCCATTGGCAAGTGTATTGTCCTGGAATTTCACAGGAACACCATCTTTGGCCATTTGCTTCTGGATAAGTTTGTAGCGGTAGTAGAAGAGATAGCCGGGGAGCAGGAAGCCCATAAATGAGAAGATAAGCAGGGCAAGATTCACCTACAAATAAAGCAAGGAGGATCAGTCATCTACCATCATATCCATGAATTATGTCCATTTATGATCAGTGACAGTAACTGGTACGAAATTGCTAATTTTGTTTCTGGACTAGCCTGCTTTGACTTCATCAAAGCCCTAATTTTCCATTAATATTCTTTCATTCAAAATGAGATCACATATATTTATTTTAGAAATAATAATTATCTACCTACAATAGATAATTACAGTACATTCCCATATAAAGCCATCCGTGAACAGTTCTCCCTATCCTGCAGTGACATCCCAGAGAAAAAGTCAGATGACAAAGCCAGTCAGAGTAATTCTGTAGCTTGTGGAGCTTATGTGACATCACCAATATCTCTCTTTTCCAAATCTGTAAAGCACTTTTTAAAAACCCTTTTTAAAAAGTTGCTGATATGGAGTGAGAGTTGCAAATTAGACATAGGATGTATGTGGGTTTGGGTACAACAACAGCTTTGGGGAAAAAAGGCAAGGGATACACTGATACACAAAGTACAGAATAAGAAAACTGAGAACCAAAACATATTGTTAGTATGGGAAGAAGCATATCAGCTTGGCACTGAGCTTGCTAGAGTGTTTGTCAGTAAATCTAAATAGGGAAGTGGATTTCACATCAGACATGAAAAAAACACCTCATTCCTTCTTCAAGTACTCCTATCTTCATTCAAACAACTAAAACTCACCCAGAAGGGATCCCCTTGTAATGGTCCCACCATAGCCATGAAAAATGGCTGTTGTAGGAGAGCAAATACGGCACTGATCAAGGACTGGAGCCCGGTCAATGTACCAAAGTGATTGGAAGGGTACCTGGTGATCAAACATAATGTGAAGAAAACAACTCTCAAAAAGCTAGAAAGGCTATTGACAACCCTTACCTCAACATCTACATAGAAATATATATTCTCAACAACCACAAGTTTCTATTTTGTTTAGAGAAATGGAAATCTATCAGTTGTTTAGGGTTTGGGAACCTGTGGTCCTCTAGAAACTGCTAAACTGCAACTCTCTGCAGCCCAGTCAATACATCTAATGCTGGGAACAATGGTTCAACATCCTCTAGAAGGCCACAGGTTCCCCACCCTGCTCAAAAACTGTCCAATCTATCAATATTATAAAGATTTAAAAGAAAGCCTCAATGGATTAAACTTGTATTTAAGTCTAAGAAAATGCTAATGGAAAATGTAAGAAGCAAGATAAACTGCCACTCTTGTTTAAAAACCATGAATAGTATTTAGATTCAGTAATTGGAAAAGAAATTTAACTAATGCTTCTCTTCTACTTCATCCTCTTCCATTCTTAGGGAAGATTTGGTCCCTTGGGAAAAAAGACAATGGGATAAGCAAGAAAAGAAAGCCAACTCACAGAGCTTTCTTCTTCTGGAACGGACTGCCCTGCTTAGATTAGAAGGACTACCCCATTTTCACCTGAGTAGCAAACCATTCTACCAAACAGGGCAATACCTTTGCACTCATTCTCAAGTGCAAAAGATTCTATCCAGTGGCAAAACTTACACAGCAGCATAGAGACTTCCGCAGGCAGAATGGAAAAAGCCGCGTACCATGGTGTGAAGAATGAAGGTCACAAACTGTAGGGGAAGAGACAAAGAAAGAATGAGGAGTCATTAAATTAAAGATAAGTTAAGGAGCTGGTGAGGGAAGGAAACCAGCACTGAGGCAGCAGAAGAGCATTATCAAGGGGAGAGAATATCAAGGAAAATCAGAGAGGAATGAAGAACACAACAGAGGTTACCTGCAAAGGAAGGTTGTTGATCAAGCAGGTGATACCAAATCCAACCAACAGAAGGTTGGTGGTGACAAAAGCTCGGATAGCATTGGTGAGCTTCTGGATCTTAAGATAGCGGACTTTAGGTGGAATTCCTTTCATCTCAGGACTAGGAAGATAAAGGAAAGTCATCATTGGTCCTCCTATTAAATGCCCCAGCATCTCTACCCTCAAGCATGGGTTCCATTCTACATTTGCTGTTTTGTCATTTGGAAATTATCAAAGTCTCACTTGATAGATCCAGCACGGTTTGTATTTCCTGGTGCATCCACACAATCCTTTATGCGCCAGTCCATCACATAGCCAATGAAGGGACAAGTGAGAAGACATAATAACTGCATGACACCAAAGATGGAAGAGTAGAAACTGACTGTCCAACAACAAAAAAAGGAGAGGGGGAATGAGAAAATAATCCAAAGAACCAGGAGAAATGTTCCTTTCCTAACCAAAATAAATCATTTTGGAGCCCCAAGGCATATTATTCTAAGCTCATGGGGGGGGGGATGAGATAGAAGTATAAAACCACATCGTAACAGAAATGAAACCTTCATTCAGAACAGCAGAAATTCTCTGGTCCAGCTTATTTACACACTTGGATCAACCTGCTGACCATCATTTTATGCCTTGTTAGCCTTGCACTTCCCAGTCCATAACAGGAAGCTCCTGTTAACATCCACAGTGGTAATGATGGTTCTGCTGTTTCAGCACTCTGATTTCACTAATGTGAAAAAAATCATCCCCCTACATCTACCCAGTAATCAGAGAACACGAAGGGGGCAGATAGTTAGCAGTACTTGAGCTCACAGCAATGGCTAGAATTTTTTGAAGGACATGGAGAATATTTGGAAGGTTTGTTTCCTAGGAAATGGAAGATTTCACCTTAAAGCTTGGACAGAGAACTGTATATAGAAGCCCTTTATCAGATTACATTACACATATACTTTGAGAGACCCATCTTAGCCCCAGGCAATTAAGGCTCCTGCCTGTGTTCTTGGCTTTATCCTCCAATTCTTCTGGCACTGGAATAAAAAGAAAAGAAAGAAAAAACTCACATCAGAATAACCAAATTTATTTTCAGGATAGAACTTTCAACTAGAAGCTCACTAAGCAGGAAGAAACAACCTGATTCTTCCCTCTCATTGCTTCCTTTTTCTCCTGCATTGCTTCCAGACACCCTTTCCCGTTGAGCTCACCAGGGTCCACGCCACCCGTCACCTGGAACGCCAGCATCTTGTTCATAGCTGCCATATAGAAGATGATACGCAACTGGGTCATGCCCATTGTGATGAGGCTCCACAGAAAGATAGGAGAACAGACACTGTGGCAGAAGGGGATGGAGCCTGCGTCCAGAAGGAAAACGTTAGAATGCTTTTCGGACAAACAAATGAATATCCTTTCCCCTTACACTGTACTTATTAGGGAGGAATTGGATTGTGTCTCAGACAAGACTTCTCCATAAGGTGCTTTATGGCTATAGCCTCCCAGAAAAAGTAAGCTGTCCCAGGCAATCTATCTGGCATCAGACCTAGAAAGACTGATCTAAACAATCCTTTCTTAGCACTCTGCTTTTCAACAAGGTAGGTAATAAAGATTCACCTGAGAGTCAGAGATTATGATCTCTTAGGAATGTACTAGTGATTTCAGCTAGACCAGGGGTAGGCAACCTTGACTCTTTTATGACTTGTGGACTTCAACTGCCAGAATTCCTGAGCCAGCACGGCTGGCTCAGGAATTCTGGGAGTTGAAGTCTACAAATCATAAAAGAGCCAAGGTTGCCTACCCCTGAGCTAGACAGAATATTCAGTACTTCAGGAGGCTTTAACAGTTCTGAAAGGCCAATGATACTTAATGTACAGGAAGTCCTCATTGAACAACTCCCCTGTTTAGTGGCCATTCAAGTCATAATGGCACTGAAAATGTGATTTTTTTGACCAGTCTTGTGACAATGGCAGTGTCTCTGCGATCGCGTGGTTTTAGCATGAGGCACTTCATAACCAGAGGGCATTTGCAACCAGTGGAGTGTCCCATGGCCACATGGTCATTATCCACATACTTCACAACCAGTTTCTGACAAGCAAAGTCAAGGGAGAAGCCAGCAGTAAAATTGTAGTTGGGGTCACATGATGTTTTGCTTAGAGAAGAAGTTGCCAGTCCCGACTCTGGTTAAGTGAGGACCCCCTACAAGCAGAGAGGATTTCTGCTTCACAGAATTTGTTTATCTTAATCAATTAAATACATCTTTTCTGTTATTTGTATACCTGGATTGAGTTCAAGCTCCACAAAGGTACTGGTCACATAGCTTGCTTATTTACAAGTTTCATTTTTTCCCTGGCTGATCTTTTAACCTATACTGCTACAGGATTGCTACCGGTAGAAACCTAGAGAGAAAAGACTGTTCCTTTACGAGAACAGTACAGAGTTAATTCAATTACAACACCAGGTTTTTTTTTTGTTGGTTTGCTTGCTTGCTTGCTTGCTTGTTTGTTTGGTCAAAAGAACAGCAGTTGGACTGGTGATCCATATCACTCCTATTTCTATCTTGAATTTTGTTTTGTTTTCTTTTTCCAGTTACCACTGCCTAGAACAGGCAAAGGAGGTGTTTCCCTCCAAATTTAGGACTGAAGCCAATAAACAGAAATGCTCGAACTGTCTCCTGCCAACAGATGGAGCCAGATGCCAGGGTCTGTCCTGAGCTTTGGCAGCCACAGCTAACAATCACCCCTGATGCCACAGGCCCAAAGCTGGAGAGGGAAGGAACAGCTGGGAGGGAACATATAATGTAGTGCCAAATCTACAAACAATGGAAGTTCCCATTTCTTAGGAAGGCTGGTACCAGCCCTCAAACCTCCAGCAACCCTTCTCGAAGCAGCTTGCAAGCCAGGCACATGACAAAACAAACTGCAAGCTTTGTGAAAAAGGCTCTTTGCACACATCCCCTCCTCATATAGCTTCTCTCACTGAGCTGAGGGATGGCAAGGCAAGAAGAAGACTCACGCTGGGCTGATTTGGTGGCCCCTTGGCAGAGGTCCTGCACTGATGGGTAGAGGGCCTTCTTGCCCCCCTCCAGCTGCGGCTCCCTCTGGCTTAGCCGCTGCCCCACAGCTGTCACATGCAGGTAGAATCGGTCACCGGTCACCTTGTGATCTAGAGCTAGGCTGCTCAGTTTGATCTTCTTCCTGTTTTAGGGATAAAGGGTCGAGGAGGAGAAGGAGAGACAGAGTTGGACTCACACACTAAACAAAGCCTATACATGGTGGCACAGTGGTTAGAATGTAGTACTACGGGCTAACTCACTGCTCACTCCAGGAGTTCAGTCCTGATGGGCTCAATGTTGACTCAGCCTTCCATCCTTCCAAGGTCAGTAAAAGGAGGACCCAGATAGTTGGGGGCAATTATGCTTTATAAAGGAGCTGTCAGACCCAGCACACTACCAACCTGGCCGCTACCAACCTGGCCGTTTGCAGCCTCCAGCCTGCGCCAACGGCGAGCGCGTCCTGGCGGCTCCGGCGGGACGGCACCTACACCGCCGGCGTGATCTGCGTGCAGCCAGCTGATTGGGCATGTGACGTCCTCACGTGGAAGCCAACACGGGGGATGGGGGCTGTGGGCAGGAGCTATGAATTGCCGCTGGGTCTGACAGGATCTAATGTCAGTTAGGGCGGGGGGACGGACTTGTTTCATGGGGCTTGCTGCTGTGGGACTGACTGAGGACTTGTTTCATGGGGCTTGCTGCGGTGGAGGTTAGCACAGGGTGGGGTGGATGGGTGGATTATGGGCGGGGTATCCTTATAAGGCTTGATGAGGGTGTGTGCTGTGGGTGTAGCCCGGGACGGCATATAGCGCGCGGGGTTGGAGCCTCTCCCAGGGTAAACTTTGTTTCCTGCAACGTGCAATAAACTTTGTTGGATTCTGGAGCGTGCCTGGTGTATTGCTTGCCTGATTCACTCAAGGACGTTCCTTACAGTAAGTTTACCCTCATCTTGCTTGCTGTTCGACGCCGGTTGCCTGCAGCGTCATGGTGGAGGGAACACAAGGGGCAGACCCGGTGGAGACCGCAGAGGCGGCGGAACCCGACGAACAGCTGGAGAGTCCGGCTGTCGGCAGCGCAGCAGTCAAGCAGCCAATAGTGCGACCAAAGGAGAGGGTTCGCATTCCGGAGGTGCTGGAACCAGGTTTAAAGCTACAACGCCCGGGGGGGGGCGAGGCCGACTGGTGGCTAGGTTCGGCGTGGGAAGGACCAGAGGACAATAGGGGGCGGCGGTTAGCGCCGAGTTTCACCGGATGGAGGGAACGCCGGGTGACTGGAGATCCGGAGGAGGAATGGAGCTGCTCCACGGCTCCAGGACAGTATACCTTAGATGTGCTAAGAGAGCAGTTCGGGGAACGTCTTCATCCCGCAACACTCCGTAGTCCTGTTAAGGACAGTCCGTCCTATTCCTCCCGTTTCCGCCTGTCCAGTCCAGGATTGGAATTAAAATCAAGTGATCAGTTTGCGTTCCAGGACCCTGGCCCGGGGCGGGTTGAAGCGGAGCGACCCCGTTACAGCCTGGGACCACGCCCGGCGGCAGGACAATCTTTAGGTACCGACAGACAAGGGGCAGGGTCCATGGGGGAGGGGTTTCGCCCTATACCACACCCGGGGGCTGCCCCGTACGGGGGTCAGGCGCCAACCCCATGGCCACAGAACATGGTATGGAACCCCCCCCGATCACCCTCACGTTCGATGGTGACTCAGATCGGTTAGCAGTGTTCCTGAGCCACGTGCTAAACCACCTGGACCGCTATACCACCTTATATTCCTCCAATTGGGCGATGGTGGTGGCGGTCACAGCATGCTTGCAGGGTGAAGCCGCTGCTTGGGCCGCAGATCTATACAGCGACCAAGCAAGAGAGTTGACCGACGTAGGGCTGTTCCTCGAGGCGCTGAGAGCAAGGTTCGACGACCCAACCCGGTTACAAAGAGCTGAGGCCCAAATAGTGGGGTTAAAGCAGAGGGGTAGACCGGTGAAGACCTATATCCGCGAATTCCAAAAGGCGGCCGGGAGGCTGAGGTCGTGGCCGGATCGTTTACTGATTCACCACTTCCAGGCTGGATTGGATTCGGACATACGTCGCGCCTGTGCGGTGAGAGGAGTTGTGGGACGCCTGGTCGACTGGTTTAAAGCTGCCATGGAGTTGGAATTTGGACTGAGGGACCGTCCCGACGTACGTGCCGACAGGCCGCCCGCGCGCCGTGCTCCAGACCGATCCGGAGAGGGCACTACACAAGCCGTACCGGGTACCACCCGGCCGAAGCCCGTATTCAGGTGCTTCCGCTGTAACCGGCCGGGCCACCAGGCCGCAGAGTGCGGGATAACAGATCTCACCGAGCTGACCGGTACACCAACGGCGATCGGAAGACCGGGCGTTACGCCGAAGAGAACGGCGGAGAAGTCCCGAGTTGCATCCCAGACGGCTCAGACGTCGTTCCAACAACTCCCTGGTGATACGACCCCAGTGCTCCACGAATATGAAGAGGAAGGTCAGGTGGAGGATCCTATGGTGAGTGAACCGATAGTCCCATTTAACATTCCGGTAACATTGACTAGCCCGGTCACTGGGGAGACAAAATCATTCCAGGCATTGGTTGACACTGGCTGCACCAGATGTCTTATTAGCAAGGAGGTGGCGTCCCAGATGCATATTAGGGTGACCCGATTGAAGTCCCCCATTCGCTTTGAGCAGGTGGATGGGTCCGTATTAGGAGGGGCCCCGACTACGCTAGTGACTGAACCCGTTAGGATGGAGGTAGCCGCGCATTGGGAGATGTTGAGATTCATAGTAGTTCCATCCATGTCAGAGGCTATTATCCTGGGGTTGGCGTGGTTGGATAAATGGACACCAACCATATGGTGGGCAGATGGCTCCCGCCATCTACGCCTTACAGCAGGCCCTCAACCACCAGTCCCGGAGCGGTATAATAGCAACATGAAAGGGGAAGGGGCAGATCACATAACGGATGGGAATCAGGGCGAGTACCCAGCAGTGTACGAGGATCTTGCAATGGTCTTTAGTGAGCAGGAGTGCGACAGTCTGCCTCCCCATAGGCGTACAGATTGCGCGATTGAACTTATCCCTGGGGCGAAACTCCCAAAGGCCCGAATGTACCCAATGACATTCACGGAGTTACAGGAGATGAGGCAGTACGTGGATAAGAACTTAGCCAGAGGATTTATAGTACCAGCACGGTCTCGGATGGCCGCCCCTGTACTGTTCCAGGGAAAGAAGGATGGGGGTTTGAGGTTATGTGTAGACTTCCGAGGTCTCAATGCGGTGTGTATAGAACAGGTGTATCCTCTGCCCCTTATAAAAGACCTTCTGACCCACTTGGCTACTGGAACAATCTTCACAAAGCTGGACCTCCGTGAGGCATACTACAGGGTTCGCATCAGGGAGGGAGATGAGTGGAAAACAACCTTTAACTGTCCGCTAGGCAGTTATCAGTTCAAAGTAATGCCATTCGGGTTACAAGGGGCCCCGGCTGTGTTTATGCAGCTGATCAATGAGGTGCTGCACGACCACCTATACAAGGGTGTCCTCGTGTATCTGGATGACATCTTAATCTACTCACGATCACTAGAGGAACATGTGGAATTGGTGCGCACGGTTCTACGAAAATTGTTAGACGCTCAGCTGTACTGTAAAATATCGAAATGCGAATTCCACAAGGAGCGTATTGACTATCTTGGCTTCAGAGTGTCGGCGGCAGGGATAGAAATGGATCCCAATAAAGTAAAATGCGTATTGGAATGGCAAGCGCCAAAAACCCGTCGTCAGCTACAGCGGTTTCTAGGGTTTGCGAACTTTTACCGGCAGTTCATCCCCTCCTTCGCTGACGTGGCCCTGCCGCTGACTCAGCTGTTGCGCACCAAGCGATTAACCGGAAAACCTCGCCCAGGACAACCTCTTGCCTGGACTATGGCCTGCCAACAGGCTTTCGAGTCCCTTAAAGGACTATTCGCACGAGAACCCATTCTGATACACCCCGATCCAGGCCGGCCGTTCGTCGTACAGGCCGACGCCAGCGATGTCGCCATTGGGGCGATATTGTTGCAACGTAATACAGACGGACTGTTACAACCGTGTGCCTACACGTCCAAAAAGTTCACGGACACGGAACGCCGCTGGGCAGTGTGGGAGAAGGAAGCGTTTGCTGTGAAATGGGCCCTGTCGACATGGCGTCATTTGCTGGAGGGCGCACAGCACCCCTTCGAGGTGTGGACAGACCATCAAAATCTAGCGGTCCTCCAAACCCCAAGAAGATTAGCACCCAAACATGTGCGATGGGCGCAATACTTCCAACGGTTCAAATTCCACCTGAAAGTCGTTCCGGGAGGGAAGAATTTCCTAGCCGACGCACTATCCCGGCTACCACAGTACAATAGCAAGAGAGAGCAGGTGATTCACGCTATCATACCTCCGTATAATCCGGGTCCCGGCCTGCCTGAGAAGGGTGCACAGTTAGGAGCCTTCGAGGATGGGCTGAGATCGGCTTTGTTAACAGACCCCTGGATTTTGGCTAACCCTGGGGTCTTGAGTCGTCGTGATGGGTTAGCCTGGTATGGGAATAGGCTATACGTTCCACTGGCACTAAGGAACCGAGTGTACCACAGATGTCATGACTCAAAAACAGCCGGCCATTTTGGATTTGTAAAGACACTCCATCTAGTGAGACGCCAGTTCTGGTGGCCAGGGATGAGGAAAGACATTGAAGAATATGTCAAACGGTGTCACCTTTGCGCCCAAGCAAAAACGGTACCGAAAAAACCCATGGGATTACTGCAGCAAGTATCTGACCCGGACCGCCCATGGCAGGATCTCGGGATGGACTTCATTGTAGATCTGCCAAACGTGAGGGGCTACACGGTGATCTGGACGGTGGTGGATCTCTTTTCTAAGCAGGCCCACTTCATCCCCTGCAAGGGTCTGCCATCTGCAAAACGGTTGGCGAAATTGTTTGTACAACATATTTACAGACTACATGGGGCGCCCCGTCGAGTGATTTCAGATCGCGGCGTGCAGTTCACAGCCCGCTTCTGGCGAGATTTCCTAGCCAGTATTGGAACCACACAAGGATTGAGCTCGGCATACCACCCCTGTACCAACGGGGCGGCAGAACGGGCAAATGCAGCGATTGAACGGTACTTACGCTGTTATGTATCGTATCAACAGCTGAATTGGGTGGACTATGTTCCATTTGCTGAACTAGCGTATAATAACGCAGTGCATAACAGTACCGGTCTAACCCCATTTCAGGTTGTTTATGGGTATGATGTGGTCCCCTTACCCGATTGTGTGTCACCAGACCCCCCTCTACACCGATCAAAGGGTTGGTTTGCTCGAGCGGGCCAGGTGTGGCGTAGCGTAAAGCAGGCACTAGACCAAGCAACACAGGTGGCTAAGTATCACGCCGACAAGAGACGTCGACAACCGCTCCAATTCCGTGTGGGGGATAAAGTATACTTATCAACCAAATATGTTAAGTTACAGGTCCCCTGCAAGAAACTGGCACCAAAATATATCGGGCCCTTTCGCATAGCACAAATCATCAATCCGGTAACGGTGAGGCTCGAATTGCCAAAGCTTCTAGGTAAAATACATCCGACATTTCACGTAAGTTTATTGAAGCCGGTGGGGAGGACATCTCATGGACAAACCCCAGGCCCTGTCACCCCAGGACGGTACGAAATAGAGGACATAGTTGACTCGCGACTACGGGGTAAAAGACTGTACTACCTGGTCGTGTGGAAGGGGTATCCTTTGTCTGAAGCCTCCTGGGTATTGAGTGAGGATGTATCCGCCCCCGAGCTAGTTAAAAGGTATCACAGAAGGGTACCACACGGAGCGCGGGGGGGGCAAGGGGACGGTTAATTGGCGTATCTGGCCAAAGGGTACACGCGGTGACTCATCTGTTACCTTTGTTTCAGGGGGAGTTGTGGTGAGGGGAAGCCGAATGTCAGACCCAGCACACTACCAACCTGGCCGCTACCAACCTGGCCGTTTGCAGCCTCCAGCCTGCGCCAACGGCGAGCGCGTCCTGGCGGCTCCGGCGGGACGGCACCTACACCGCCGGCGTGATCTGCGTGCAGCCAGCTGATTGGGCATGTGACGTCCTCACGTGGAAGCCAACACGGGGGATGGGGGCTGTGGGCAGGAGCTATGAATTGCCGCTGGGTCTGACAGGATCTAATGTCAGTTAGGGCGGGGGGACGGACTTGTTTCACGGGGCTTGCTGCTGTGGGACTGACTGAGGACTTGTTTCATGGGGCTTGCTGCGGTGGAGGTTAGCACAGGGTGGGGTGGATGGGTGGATTATGGGCGGGGTATCCTTATAAGGCTTGATGAGGGTGTGTGCTGTGGGTGTAGCCCGGGACGGCATATAGCGCGCGGGGTTGGAGCCTCCCCCAGGGTAAACTTTGTTTCCTGCAACGTGCAATAAACTTTGTTGGATTCTGGAGCGTGCCTGGTGTATTGCTTGCCTGATTCACTCAAGGACGTTCCTTACAGGAGCATTTAAGAGCAAAACCAAAAACATAAATAATTAAATTAAATAAATCTAAAACTTTTTCTGAAATAAAGGATCATCATTTATAACTAAGGGCATATATGACCATTGTAGTTAAAAAATATAGTAAATGAATTTTGTCTTAATCACATAAAACGCTCCTTGTTTAATAAACTACCAGTACGCAAATCACAGTGTACATAATATATGACTGTGGGCAGAAATGATCCTGGCAATGTTGTCTCATAGTAGTTACGTCTCATAGTAGCTACAACCAAGCCTACTGCAGCTGATAAAAAGGGGTTTTCCCTCCCTTGATTTCTGCTACTTGGCAGAAAACCCGAGGTGAAGAAAGGACAAGAGAGTGTGAAGTACAACAGAACAGGGCTTTTCAGCCAGTGGTTGGATTCTTATGTGATTTTGTGACTTTGAAGTTCTGGGATTTGTGCAATGCAGGCTTTGTGTTCTTGAGGAGTGTTTGGCAATTTCTATTGTGACTGATGTCTGGTGTTGAATTTGGGGTTCTAATTCTATTGCTCTGCTATTGTTAGCTGTAAGTTTTGCTGCAAGGGATTTTGAAGTATTTTTGTCCTGAATGGATTTTGCCTGTAGCATTCCTTTACTTATGAATGGAGCCATTTGGGGAGGCTGCCTTAGCCAGCAGCCAGTACTTTGTGGTTGGTTTTTTTTCTTAAGTGCCGGCCTGCTCCTTAACTTTCCTTTCTAACCAGTAGCTAATTCTTAAAGAGGAATGCGCCTTTTTAAGCTAGTTCCTTCAGTGGTTTGTCTTTTCTGTCTCTGGAGGCTTTTCCTTGTTTGATAAATATATGGAAGAGGGAAAATAGGGGGGGGGGTTAAATTCTTCCTTCAGAAGGAGATGGGAATGAGAAAGAGGGAGGCAGGCAATTTAAATTTGATATAAAAAAATACTATATAGTTTTTTCATAATTTTTAACTTTATATATATATATATATATATATATATATTCTATTTTATATTCTTTTTTTTTATATAAATATAAAATTTTTTTAACTTTTTTTAATTAAGCCTATATTCTGCTCTGGGAGGCCCTGGGGGGGGAAGGGGGGGTTTGGGTAGGGGTGGGGGAAGGGGGGTTTTGTTGGGTAATGTTTGTTTTTATTTGTATATGTTGTTTTTTGTTTTTGTATTGTCTTTTATTTTTTGTAAAATTTATAAAACTTTTTAATAAAAAAAAAAAAGAGAGAAAGAGGGAGGCAGGGAAGGGAGGAAGGGAAGGAAGTCCCGCCTTAGCACTTGGCCACCAGCAGCTCTGCCACTGACTTTGCTTGTCAAAAGATTGCAGAAGGGGATCACATGACCCTGGGACACTGTGACCATGATAAATATGAATCAGTTGCCAAGCATCCAAATATAAATTGCATGATCCTGGGGATGCTGCAATGGTCATAAATGTGAAAAAATGGTCATAAGTCACTTCAGTGCCATTGTAACTTTGAATAGTCACTAAGCAAATTTTTGTAAGTCGAGGACTACCTGTACTTTATCACTTTTTTCCTTTTTTTTGGTCATTAAGTTTTTGACACTTTGTTAGGTGGTACTCGAATATTGCCATATCCTAAAAGCGGTACAATCGGTGAAAAGGTTGAAAACAACAGAACATGTACCAGAAGAGCCTGATGGGGCCCAAGCCAAATACAAGGAGTGCATTAGGGAGAGACTCAAGACTTGTGGACTACTCCAAGGGAAAACAAGCCACTCTTCAAACTCTAGAGGGAAATGCCTTGGGGCTGAAAGGAAAAGCTGAGCCAAGGCTGGCATCAACATCTGGCACCTTTAAGAACCTGCCAAGATTTGAATGGGGTGTACTATGCCTGTTTCAGGAAGAGTGCCAGATATTTGGGTATACCATCTTTTTCATCCCCTCTGAGTCTCTGACCCAGGGGAATATTGTAGAAGTATGTATCATTCTGAAAGCCTGAAGTTCCACTGCAGGCTAAGCTTTCTGTGCATCACCAACCAATCAGAATATAGTAAGTAACCAGTAGCAAGCCAGTTTTCTGCAATACACACTTAACAAAGATGTACATTTTAGCCAAAGGGAGAAGAACAATACTTCCCCAAATCAAGCCAACACATGGCAGCAAAAGCATGCCATCAGAAGACAGACAAAGCAATTCAGAAGGAAACAGAGTCTGTGAAGGAAGCTCCACGGAACCGGATACATCTCTCTTTAATACTACTTAAGATACTAAAGCAGAGAATGCTGACCCTGATAGGCAAGAAATTGCAAATCAGCCCATCTTCCATTTAGCGTAATGTGCTGTAACTATCCAGGAGCTGATGTGCTCCTGAACTCCCAAAATTTCTAATGAACATGGCAAATAGGTAGAAATTAAGGATAATAAATACAACACATCTGATGGGGAAAGATAGGTGCAGTGTCCGCAATAAGGAGAGAGAATAGCCACAATATAAATTCTTGAGAATCCTCACTCTTGCACTCTGTTTACCAGATGGTTTACCTGTAGAAAACATGTATAACATTGATTGGCTAGAGCTACATTGCCATGCAATTCCTACTTACGTATAGTTGGCCTCTTCTGGAGCTGGGAAGGACTCCTTAGGCCAGTTGATCATGCAGTTGAGGAAGATGAGGCAAGCCAGGCCTGACCAGACAAGCATGATAACGATGAACGAAACTCCTGCATCATAGATCAGCTAATAGCAATAGGACAAGAGGCAAAATAAACATCTGGAATAGTAGAAAAGCCACAGAGAAAGAATGGGATGGCTTTGGACATTCCAATAAGTAGTCATAGAAGAGGCTGATGAATTCTCTAATATCTACACAATATCTATACTATTCCTGTGGATTCCGTGCACACAGTTGAAAACATGCATCCATCTCTTCACTTAAGCTTGGAAAGCAATGACAGATGTCGTCTATGGAAATTCTCAATCATCCAGATTATGGCTGCCCCAAAGATGTTTTTCCAAAGAGAACTTGACTTTCTTGGTTTTTTTCTTTGAAAACATTTCACTTATCATCCTCAGAACTCAGGAAAGTTCTTGGATGAGAAACAAAATGTTTTCAACCCCCAAGAAAGTCCAGTTGCTTTTTGAAAAGCAGCTTTGGAATAACAGATGATATGTCAATCAGGCCTGCTTCTACTCTCCTTTCCTCTTCCCAGAGGTAGAATATCCTTTGCTGGTAGACCACACATCTGGATTCCTCATGTGTCTCTCTCAGCCTAATGACGAAAAGCTTTCTGTATCATCAGCCAAGAGAGAAGAATGTAGAGTACAACCCACAGCTGCCTTTGACTTTCCAGATCAGGAATTTGGGATTAGAACTTTCCTTGCTGCATCATCCGGTTCTATTACGTACCTTAACCCCAGGAAATGTAACAGCAGAAGAAGCATAAGAGCCAATCAAGAGGGCCATGAAAGTAGAACGCAAGTTTCCAAACATGTTGGGCAGCTGAAGAGATATAAAAAGAAGCAACAATAAACAGAAATATACTCCCTAGTCTGGTCCTTTCAAATTACTCTTTTATTTTGAAGTCTTGTAGACCATACTGGGTATCAGCTTCAGTACCAAAAAGCTGGATCCTTTATTATTTTCCATACTCTCATCTAAATCATCCCCATTTCTTTCTCTAAATTCTAATTTTGCATCAAAGATACATATTCAAACCAAAGGTATTATCACTGCCTAACAAATTACAGTGCACAGCTTCACATGTGTATTCAGAAGCCAAGATCCAATGAAGTAAGTGGCCTAGGATAGTAGCATTAGCTAACTAACACAGTGTTTATTTTAAAATTATATACTACTTCCTTGAAAAACTCAAAGCCTAAAAACCAGCAATTAAAACAATAATATATTGTTTAAAGTATATTGCACATTAAAACATTATAGGTAATATACAGACTCTATAACAAAAATAATACCGTAAGAAAGGTAGCAATAGAAGATCTAAAAATCACAGCAACATTATAATTAAAAGACTGGAGAAAACAAAAATAAATTTGCTTAGCACCGAGTCAATAATCACTCACTTGGGAGACCTTTCCAAAGTCCCTTGAAGATGACCTTGTCAGATCAACATCTATTGGAAGAGGGATTTCTTTAGATACTACAGTCCCGAACTTATAAAGGGCTAAAACCAGCACTTTGAAGTGGAAATAAATTGCATGACCATAAAGAACTGGCATGATGTGTTCATATTGCCCAGTTCCTTTCAATGCTCTTGCTACCAGAGTTCTGTGCTAACTGAAGCTGCTGAGCCATCTTCAAGGGTAGCCTCACGTACATACATCTGATTACAATAATCCAACAACAAATATTTAGGACATGGATTATTGTTTTGAAGCTACTGTATGTATATCCAGTTAGGGCTGTAGCTAGCATATCAGCCTAAACCAGGGGTCTTCAAACTTGGCCCTTTTATGACTTGTGGTCTTCAACTGCCAGAATTCCTCAGCCAGCTTGCCTGGGTGAGGAATTCTGGGAGTTGAAGTCCACAAGTCATAAAAGGTCCAAGTTTGAAGACCCCTGGCCTAAACTGATAAAGGAACTATGTGCCACAAAGGCTACATACCCCTTTGCTATAAACCTGATCCTTTAAGGCACATGCAAAACTATTCAGAACAGACTCTGGATACAAATGTCACTAACAGCACACTGTCTTTTCTGAATTGAGCTTCAGTTTGTTGCTCTTCATCATCCAGTCCATTTTCAAACGAAGTCCCTCATTCCATGTACATATTGACCAACATAGAGAATACAATGGAACCTGTGAAGCCTCACAATGGTCAGTCAGAAGTCCTCCATTATCACCTTTTGCAGACAGCCGTCCAGAAATGAGTAGAACCACATTAAGGCTGTTCTGCCTATAGTTAAGCTGTTTAATGTCTCCAGAAAGATTCCATGGTTGATAGACAGCTGCTGAAAGAAGCTGGGGAATCAATAAAGTTTCACTCCCCCATCTTCTCTAGGCAAAGATTGTCAAGGCAGTTTCCCTGTCAAAACCCCTAAACCTGATTGAAGTGGATCTAGTAAATCCATCAGCACCTGCAACTGATCAGCAGTCATCTTTGTCCAGGAAGGGAATGCTGGCCATTGGCCTTAAAATTATTTAGATCTAATCTAGAATCACTGATATTATTCCCAGGAATGGGCTCATTACACCTTTTTTTAATGAGGTTACGATCATTTATGTAAGCAGGATTTATAACTTCCAGATCAAGTTAAGCATGTCATTCTTGCTGAATACAATAAGCCATAAGGGATAACAGGCAAACAGATGTGGGACTGGCTGACTTGCTCAAACACTCAAACAGTGTTAACAGGCCCTAAAAATAAAATATCCAAAGAAATCTGATGAAAACTGAGCTCTGAACACGTCTACAAATTGGTCTGAAGCTGAAGAGTCTAAATGATGATTGTGATCAATAGTTAACATGACACAGCTAGCCATCAAGGATTATGATCTGTATTCAGCTGGATCCCAAACAAACCCTCAGCCATTCAGAAAAACTGTGCTGGATGACACTGGGAAGAGATGCAATGATGGAAGAGAAACTGCTTTTTGCTTCCATCATCACCACAAAGCATGTTTGATAATGAGCTCTTGTGTTTGATCAGATTCAGGATGTGTTTTTCCTCCACTTGGGTATTAGTCATCGCCTGACTTGTCCTCGTGTGTATCAAGGGATTGAACAGGCTGTATGACATGGGAGAAAATGTTCAGGAGCAATAACAATCTCTATAGTCCACATGCAGCCAAATCATCAACACCAACCATATTAGCTGAGAAATCTCCCCCCCCCCCCAAAGCCTTGTGAAATCCATCCACCTCCTGGGAACAGGGGCAGACCACTCTAACAGGTTTCCCACCTCTGCAGAGAGGAATAGTCTCAATAAGAAGGCGTCTAAGCGTGACAAGAGAGCCGACCTTAAAGCAGATACCACCATCCTTCTGCCCAGTAGAAATACAAAAAATAAATCCAAATCCCTGAAATCCAGCACAGGTCAGGTAATTCAGGGATGAACATTAAAGCATCCCAGGAGTCTTCAAAATTAAGTCCTAAACCAGGGGTAGGCAACCTTGGCTCTTTTATGACTAACTCCCAGAATTCCTGAGCCAGCCAAGGTTGCCTACCCCTGTCCTAAACAATCTCCATCACTCAGATTGAGAGGCTGTTGGATTATGGAGGGATGATATAGTCCTCAATTTACCACCACAACTAAGCCCAAATTTTCCCTTGCTAAATGAGACAGCGAAGTGAATTTTGCCCCATTTTACCTTTTTTGCCACATTTGTTAAGTGAATCGCTGCAGTTGCTAAGTTAATAACACAGTTGTTAGGTGAATCTGGCTTCCCCATCAACCCTCTTTGTCAGAAGGTCACAAAAGTTGATCACATGATCCCGGGATGCTGCAATCGCCATAAATATGCACCAGTTGCCAGGCATCCAACTTTTGATCTCGTGATCATGGGGATGCTGCAATGGTTGTAAGTATGAAAAACGGTCATAGGTCACTTTTCTCAGTGCCCTTGTAACTTTGAATGGTCACCAAACAAACAGTTGTAAGTCGAGGACTACCTGTACTATCCGTTTTAAGCTTATTTCTTTCCCTGTAGAACAGCTCTAGGGAAGGCATAGTGCCAAACCTAACATTGGACTTGGGTAAACATTGAAGTAGAGAATGGCTCCTTCTCCAGTTCCCTAATATATGCCTCTCTCCAAGGCAAAGGGAGAAGGTGTGGCACCTTATTCTGCCTGCTCACTGGCTGGTACTCGCCACCTGTGCCCTGAGGGTGTTTTTCTGCCTATTCCAAAAAACACATTGATCTCCCCGTGAAGCAGGTATAATCCTTGTATGTTTTGAGATAGCAATGTTTTGGAGATAGCAATGGGTCAGAATTTTTAAGCCGTGGGCTTGGAAGAGCTGTTGCTCAGGTCACCTAGACCAGCAAACAGGGAGAGAGAACTTCCTGCCACGGTCATAATCCTTGCCCTTTGGGGCAAGCCCGAAATGACCAGAGCCACCCTGTGCCTTTATCAATGGTGAACAGGAAATTCCAGCAGATATAGATCTTTGAGCCCCAGCTGATAAAGTACCACTAATGTCTCTTTCGTATGGCTCTTAAAGGCATCAGTGTTAGGGTCACCCAAATTTCAAAGTATTGCCTCATAATACATGACATTCAAGGAATATCAAGCAGGAGAAGAGACCCATGACTCCTACCAGCTACCAGAGTCACATACACCAGGGGTCCCCAATCCCCAGTCCGTGGACCAGTACTGGGCTGCGGCAAGCCAGCAACCAGTCCACATAAACAAGTAAAGCTCCATCTGTGGGATGCAGGCAGCACACAAAACCACACACTCTCGGGTCCGTGGAAAAAACTTCTCTCCATGGAACCGATCCTTGGTGCCCAAAAGGTTGGGGACCTCTGACATATATTACGCAGCCCATACAGCTTATACCACTTATACACACAGCCCAACAAGGAAAATTTAGACACTCACATTACACCCAGAGAGAGCAAGATATTTAAAATTGTATGTTTGAGTTCTACCATTTGTTACACAAGGGTTAAAAATTACTAAATTTTACAACTACAGATATTTAAATTCACTTATCTCTGTAAATTACTTAAATTATATGAACACAGAGAAATGCTAATGAGAGCCGGTAGAGGTTTAACATAAAAATGTGGGTATTAACTGTGATTCAAAGGAATAATGTTCAGATTTTTGATGCTTTTATCCTATAACATTTTGTTTTGCTTTAGATTTACCTCTAGCAAATAAAGGGGGGGAAATAAGCACTTCTGTCTGCTGATAGAGGATTACATAAATGGATAATGCTCAGAATGGAAAGAGAGAAATCTAGCATGTCAGGAAATACTAGACATCTCATGCCCCGTTAGGTCATTGTTACAGAGATATTTCCTTACCTAATCAGAGAAACTGAATTAGCAAACAGTAATGGAAGCAGGAGCAATTTCTGATTTCCTGCTGGCTTCCTCATTGAATTTCCTTGTGAGAAGCTGGCAGAGAGATTTAGGAATCCCTAACTTACTTAACTTCTTTCCTCCCTCCCTTCTCTCCCTCCCTCCCTCCCTCCCTTCCCTAGCTGCCTTCCCTCTCTCCCTGTCATTCTGACATTATCTTTCTTCCTCCCTTCTTTTGTTCATACTATCCTTCCTTCCATTTTTCTTTCTCTTCCTGCCTCCCGCCTTCCTCCCTTCATTCCTTGCATCATTCCTTTCTTTTCTCTCTCTCTTCCCCTTCCTTCCCTCCCTTGTCATCAGAGTGCATACCAGGTGTGTGGTGGGGAAGACACTCAAAGGGGTGGTGCGAGCCACTCAAGGGATGGCACAGATCATAAGAACACATGGGAGGATTGGCATGGGCTGAATAGGATGGGGGTGTCTTCCTTCCTTTCCCAGCAGGCAGGGAAATGGCTGCTGCTGGGTGGGGGAGGGAGCAAAGGATTGTGAGAGTGGCTGGGAAACTGTCATGCAATATTCCAAATGAATATCACATGACCAAAGCAGCACAACAACAGCCTGAAGCCGCCACAATCTTCGCAATTTCATTCCCTTGAAAGTCATGGGTTCTGGATTTTGTACAAATTCTGTAAGTTAACCCATTTGAGGTATCTCAGTTTAAAAATTGTTACCTATAATGCACTGTTTCACCAAATTAAAAGTTGTGACAATAAGAGTTTTAATAGTATTAGATAAGACTATACTAATATTCCAAATATATGTTTTCTTTGTGCAAGAATGTTTCTTTTATTTGTCTGAAAAAACACTCAGCCTTTCAAAGGGGCACAAAGATTTTATTCTACTCCCTAATTGTTATGCTTGAGAATCAGGCTCCAAAGCAACGCTATATTTATTCTCTATGCTACAAAAGCAAACTCCTGTGCCAAGAAAAGCCATGGATAGTTTGTAAATTGCCTATTGTTGGGGTGAGCAATAGTTTTAAAGCAGAGCCAAAACTTAGAGTTGTTTAATTTTTTTTTTCATCTTTTGACAACCACAGATATCGTGGCTGGTAATGTGACTTTTCTCACCAAGGGTCTGGGGTTTATTTTTGGGGGTAGTGGAAGAAAAAAGTTAAGGGAGAAATAAATACCTTAAATGTCATGGAAGCTTATTACATCAATTTTGTTCCTTACTATGGACAAAATGGTCAGAGAACTCTAGTATTAAAAAGCTATGGTTGTATCACTGAAATTGGGCAGTACAATTTGGGAGCAAAAATAACGGAGCTGAGAGCCATACGTAACCTGTCACCCATGGGCAACCTATCTGTGATCTTTACTATTTATTTGCAGTTTGATTGGCTCAGAGAACAGCTTAATAAGAATCCAGTTTCAAACTTACAAGGCATTATTGGCACTTCTTTCATTTGGAAAAAAAATATTCAGAGTCTGCTGCTCATTGCTTAATGCAGAGAATTTTTAATCAGTGATGATCAGTATTAAAATTATTTTTGGCTTTTTTACTGTAATAAGGAACACTGAGAGAAAGAGAAAGACAAGCACATTTTCAGGGAAATTCTATGAGCTTAATACTTTGAGCAGCCATTAGGACAACAATAATAGATGGGCAAATAGGTCAACAGCATAACGATAGCTAAAGAAACAAGCCTGTGGAGAAAACTCAGCATCTTTCCAGAGAATGGTTCAAGGCCTGCTGTAAAAACAATGTCTCCCTGAAAACCATGTACGAGATTATGTGTCTTGCACAGTCCCTTCAAAATGCATATTTTTTAAGAGACAGGTCACTATCAGATCAGAGATCATACCACAGGCTACTCGTATGGTCAGGGATGCAACTTTATGGTGCAGCTATAAAATCATTAACTCAGGGCACAGATTCTCACAGATTGTTATGCTTTTGTAAAGAGATGCTCATATCTGCATCCATAAATTACTTGATGAATTATACATTCTGGAATCAAGCAACTGGTCCCCATGATTTTTTCAGGCAGATAAAAATAATCTTCACCAGTTCCTATCAAGGTATATTATCATCCTCCATATCATCCAATATTTACATCATATTTGTTGGCCAGAGAAACAGAGTTTTGTGTGTAGTATTGCCACTACTGCTAGGTGGGTTTTTTTAGATTCCTGCTTTAAAATGTTATTTGATGAATGTGAAGCACTCGTGTACTATCTTCTGTAATGCTTTAAAGAAAGTCCATTTTACCGAGGTTTAGGAGGCTGTTTTAAAGACATGCAGGCAGGGACACACAAACGGGTGCCACATGAGCAATCCCTCTGAGCCCAAACTGCAAAGCTTTAATTACCATTGTGAAAACAAAAACCACTCAAACCTGAAGCACTGATGCCAAAAGATGCTCTCGGGTATTACACAGAAGTTATACAAATTGATTTGAAGGAATCCCAAAGAATGCACCATCAAACTCACAGCAGTAGAAGAAAATCTTTTTTTCCCCTCTGATATCATCTTACCCTTACTGACCCAGTGCCACTGTCTAAGGAACATCTGAATGGACTGCTAGACAGACTTCCAGGGGCACCAAGGGTGAGTTAACAAACCCCTCTCATAATTCTCTCTTCTGTTAATGAAGGTGTTTACCAGCAACAGGAACGGTCTCAATAGATTTCACAGTACAATTTCAATTCTGATAGGCATGCATAAAATCACTGTAAAAAAATTATCCTGAATGTACACCGTGCAAAAACAGATCTGAAGTTTTTCCCCCCTCTTTTTAAAAAATGCCAATGAGGAAAAACAGCAGTATGCTTTTCAAAATTGTGCTGAGACAGAGATTTATCTTTGGCACATAGCGTTTTTCTCTCCTTCCCCCCCCCCCCACAACTAAAAAGGATGTAGAATTTAGAAATACATACATCCTTCCTGTGATCCTGAAGCACAACGCATCCTGGCTTTTACATGGAAAGTCTGAGTATCCTAATCATGACTAATCAGAGCTCTCTAGCATCTTCTAGGTGCCAGACAGCACACAATGCATTACAAAAATTATGGATCCATGCTTCTTGGAACTGCTTTGGTCCAAGCAATTAGATTTGAAGCACACAGACATTCATTGTTTTATAAACTACAGTGGCTATTTAATCAGCCCTGCCGGCCATGAATACAAAATCACGTAATATAAAGCTCTAACATGATTGACATGCTCCAGAGCCCACCAGTGAAGAAATGACACCATGCTGGTGCTCAGAGATGTGCTTTCTCTGAGGCTGTTCCTGCCCTCTGGAGCTCCATCTGCTCCACCCAGCTCAACGTGGCCTGTTAGAAGGCCTTGATAGTTTTCTTCAATATATTTTGGGACAGAGCAGTTAATGACCTCACTTGGGGGTATGTTGTTTTACACTGCTGTTTCCCCAATATGATTAGTTGATGTTCTTTTCTGCTATGCATGTTAAACCTGTTTTAAATTGTTTCTTATATTGGTAATGCTGCCTAGAGCTGCTTCCATGGATAATAAAGTCAAGCAAGCAAGCAATCAGGCAGTGGATCAAATTACAGGTACAGCAATTCCCAGCAGAGCTGTGGCAACCGTAGAGACCTTCACACAGTCTCTCCTCCTTTCTGCAGACAGGCACTTAAAGCCACTGTCGCGTCATAGTGGTGTTACAAAGGGCCAAATCTGTTCTTTTTAGAATACACCCCCTCAACAAGGAGGTGAAGTTTTACTAGAACAGCAATGGACCTTCTTTGCAACCTTGAACTTGCTTATGTCTCCTCTGGCTACAATACTAAACTTTGGATTCCCATTTGTTTTGATAAGAGGACCATACAGATGTGCATGGTAAACCTCAAATAAGCTTAACGAGGTTTTAAAAACAAAAATAAGCCAACTTCTCTCACAACCCACTCAAGACAAGAATATCCCAGCCCAAGTCCACAAAGTAGCTGCCCTGTTTGAACTGCCACATCGGCGGACTTCAATCATTCTGCCTACCTGATATGTTCAAGCAGAGTGGGAGGCAGTTCAGATCCCCTCAATTAAACGCTCTTGTCTTATGGGACTGAGGAAGCACACCTTCTGGATCATAGCTCCTGTCCTCTGGAAAGCTATACCCCTAAGACACGCAAGCTTCCCACTCTCCAATTTTGGGGGGAAATCTGTTTAAGATCTACCTCTATTCCTAGGCCCAGAGTTAATGTGTTAATGGAGAACCCCATCACACGCCCCGTGTGTTTGTGTATGTTTGCATTTTATTATGACTCTTTATATTGTTATGTTTTAAATTATATATTAAATTTATGAAGTGGAGCTGCTATAATAAATCATCACCCACCCATCATGGCCCTGGCCCCATTTCCCAGCCATCAAATAGTTCTTTACTATCCTATTCCTGCAATCACTGTCAGAAAGAGCTCTACAAGGCACAAAAAAGAGGCAATGACTTTTCACTTTTAATGTAAGACAGTGAGAATTCAGGAAGAACCAGCTTCTAATCTGTGACTGCACTACAAAAGAACTGGATCTAATTTATAGATCTGCTGTAAGCTTAATGATCTGAGGAATCTCTCTTTTTTTGTAAGTGCTTTCTGTAATCCTTATATTCTAAAAGGCATGAGATTCCTGGTGTGTCTTTCAATTCAGCCAAGAGTACAAGAGTACATCTAGGCTCAATTAAGAGTAAGTATATAATCAATGTGTCCAAAATGAAGTGAAACAGACACACCCAATCAAAACATGCCCAGAGCCAAAGCTATGGTCTCAGCTTAGTAGAAATTTAGTAGAAAATTTTGGCAAAAGCTAATAAATTACAGATTGTGCCTGAAAGTTCTCAGGTTGAGCAATATAGAGAATCTGAGTGAAAAGAACAAACAAATTAGGAGTCAGGCTCTGAACCCTAAGCTAATAAACCTCTGTATCTTAAAATTCAGGGGCAAAATAACTTAAGGCCAGAATGATCCCACCCTGACCTTGGAACAGACTGTTCTAATCTTGCTGGATGAATTCTAGTTAGACAATGAAAGATTATTTCTGTACTTACAGTTAAGGAGGTGAACGTCAGGCAGATCCCACCAAAACCATTTAGGGAAAGGCCAAGAAAAATCAATGGAGAAAGAACTGGGAAGGAGAACAGAAATATGGGGTGAGAAGATGGATGGTGTTCACAAGGAATGGAGGAGATTTGTGGGAAATAGAAATACAACGGAAGACTGAGTGGAATAGCAAAAAGACTTGAGAATATGATATAGGGTTTTTTTAAAGGAATAGATCCATCTTTTCTACAAATACCCAGTTGGGGAAGACACAAGCTGTATAATCTAGCACATTTGAAGAGATCAGGCTGGAGATGGTTGAAGGAATTTAAGATTGCCAATGGGAGAACCTGTCTTTTTAATATATCTAGAGCATGGTTCTCAACCTGTGGGTCACGACCCCATTTGGGGTCGAACGACCATTTCACGGAGGTTGCCAAACAACACAGTCCGCCATTTTTTTCCCCTTTTCCTTAACTGTGCTACTCCCTTTTATTCTATTGGCTTTTGAAAGCCAATAGAATAGACTCTCTTGAATAGAGTCTAATTCTATTGGCTTTCAAAAGCCAATAGGAATGTCCAGGCTGTCTCTGCCCTGCTGAGCCTGCCAAAAGTCCCATTCTGCAAACGGTGCTGCAAGTTGTCTGCAGCGAAGGCGAGCTGTCTGGAAGTTTCCACCCCTCCCTGCTGAGCAACTACTAAAAATGTAAGTAAAAGAGGGCCGAGGTGGGAGGTGGGAGGCCGGCGGGTGCAGGGAGGGTTGCTGGCGCGCGTGGGGCCCAGCGGGTGCCTTACCTCCCTTGGGCTGGGCCAGCTGGTGGCCCAGCCGGTGGTCGGCCTGCTCAGTCTCTGCCGCTTGCCAGCTACGCCTCGGCCGGCGCAGGGGGCGGCACCACGCATGCGCGGCGCTCCTGGGCAGGGAAAGTCCTTGACTTACGACCGGTTGGGTAGTCCTCGACTTACGACCGGGTGGGGGGTTGCGGCATTAAAAACGTTGAGAACCACTGATCTAGAGCCATTAAGGAGGATGTAGCCATAACCCTCCAAGGGCCATTTCTCTATGAATTGGACTTCTCGTATTGCACATGTGGGGCCAGAGAGGCAGGAAACCAAAATGGGTGGGTTGAGTTGTATGACAGAACCAGAAGAACATTAGGGGAGGGAGGGAGGGAGGGAAAAAGAAAGAAAGAAAGAATGAAAGAAAGAAAGAAAGAAAGAAAGAAAGAAAGAAAGAAAGAAAGAAAGAAAGAAATTCACATTTGCAAGTAATTAAAAGTTACTAATTCAATTAACACAAAAATTCTTCTCACCTAATGGGTTGTAGGCAGCCAGAGCCATGAGAGCACAGGAGAAAGCAAAGCTGGCACTACAAAGAAAGTAATAGGTATATCAAATCATTGCTGGGCTAAGTTATGTCGTCAAAGCAGCTTTCCTCAACCTGTGCCCTTTTGATGTATAGATGACAACTGCCAGAACTCTAGAGGCAACTCATATTGTGAGTTGCAGTGCAACACAGCTGGAAAGCTCCCGGTATGGAAATTCTGCCTCAAAAAGACAGAGAAAATTATTGAAAACTGTTCCCCAATTATTTCACAATTATATTCTCCACCTTAAAAGCTGCAATCTGTTGTCAGTTCTCTCTCTCCATCCAGTGTGGTTTCTAATCTGCAAGTTCACTTTCTAATATTTATTCATTTCCACTGAAATGAGATTTTGTGACCTAGTAACCTCCAGGCATTTTTTTTTTTGTCTTCCTAAGTATTTTGTTCAACAGGCCACCATGCTATTTGCCTCAGCCCAGAGACCTTTTTCCTCTTACCTGCCAACTAGGCGGAGTGGCCTGGGTCCAAATCGGTCCATCAAGATGCCAAGAGGCAAAGTAGCTGCACTCAAGAGAAAGGAGCCAATGGTGAAACCCAGGGTAAGCATTTCTTCCTGTTCCACACAGCTGAGCCAGGGATGGGACACATTAAACACAATTGAAACATTGGTGTTATTCTTATCTAAAGAGAAAAAAATGGCAAAATAGATTAGGACATTGATTTCAAATCCCACTGTTGCATCTATTCTATCCTAGGGCAGGATTGTTTTCTGTTCCTAAAGAAGCACAATCAAGTCCTTCTTGCTGCACTGAAGAAAACACAAAATTGTGGAGGTCTTTGATGCTTTCTGAGCTTGGTTGTTTTCTTGCAGACATTGCATTACCAAAATAGGTAACATCATCAGTAGTAGAATGAAGTGGGGTTTGCTCTCATTTTATACACTAGGGCAGGGGTAGGCAACCTTGGCTCTTTTATGACTCGTGGGCTTCAACTCCCAGAATTCCTGAGCCAGCATGGCTGAGCTTGGAAATCTCTCCCTTTCCCCTCAGCATGACTGGGTCAGGAATTCTGGGAGTTGAAGTCCACGAGTCATAAAAGAGCCAAGGTTGCCTACCCCTGCACTAATGGCTTGCCCTGCCAGTGTTAGTGGGAGTTGGTGGCTCCTTGATTAGGCTACTGTTTACTATTAGCTTGTTAGTAGTTCCTTGATTGCGGCATTATTTCCTGATCATTGGTTCAGCACTGTGGATTAAACACAACCTTCTCATGCACAGCAGAGAAAGCAAAAGGAGGAGCAAAATGACCTGGGAAGGAAGAGGATCTGAATCACATTCTGAGTCTTCCAGCTGATTGCTGTGGGCCCATTCTGAGCATAGAAGAGCTGCTTTGCTAGTTCAATCACCAGCCAAGAAAGGCAGGGAGTGATTCTATGATAAAAGAGGATGTGAGCAGGGGAGAGTAATGGATTTGGCTATCATTTATAGTGAGAGCAGCTCTTTCTAAAATTTTAATAAAGTCAGACAGTAATCTGTTGCTTGTGAAAGATTTAGGAGACAGGCTGTGATCTGAGCTGCTGTATCACAAGAAACAATAAAAGCCTGACTCCAGAAAATGAGAGGTCCAGGCACTTGGAGGAATTGTAGTCTGCCTTTCTTATAAAGTGCAAGGTCAATTTTATTAAGGAAGAACACTATTATAAGATTTCTCTGGGCCTTTGAGGAAAATAGTAGGAAAATAAGAGCTAATCCAGCCACTGTGTTTATTACAAAAAGATGGTTTGAAAAAAAAGCTTTGTGGGATTGTTAATCTCACATAGTCACAGTGAGGTAGTACCGCTATATCCTGCAACATAGAATGCTTCACAGCCCTAGCAAGAGTTAGGATCATGGGAAACTTCACTTGTTGGGGGCGGTACAATATGGAACTACAATGTGGAGATGTTTTATAAAAAATAATGATAAGGTACCCCCACAGAAACTGTTTTAAGCCATTACCATATAATAAAACCAGCTCTATTAATTTGGTACTAATTTGTTTATTCCTCCATCTTCAGTCCCTCACATAAATTGCAAGATTTGTGTGGAAGAGTCATATGAATGCCAGATCCCAAGGTTGAAACTGCTGAATCCATTTGTATGGAATCCCCCTCTCAACTTTTGATCAAGTACGTAATGCTGGTACAAGTTACTAATCAGTTCTGTCAGATTCATGCTTACTTCTGTCCCCCCAGAAGCCTTGTCAATAGGATCCAACTTGCTTCATCTGCAAATGTTCTGGTAAGTGCAGACTTGGGGATGAGGCCAGCGAGAATTTGTGGGAATGGGAAGTGCAACACTTTGCTCAGAATATCGCCTGCAAACCTCCCCATATCCCACTTTATCATTTTATCTCACCTAATAGGCTCCGATCCCAGCCAACTCACCTATGCACATATGGGAGTAGAAGCCTTCACGTTTGAGCATAATGAGTAAGGAGCTCCAGCCCAGCAAAACAGCAGAGAAAAAGAGATTTTCCACCACCGCAATACAGGCCATCCACCAGCGTCGCCGGTATGCCTGATGCAAGGTGGGTGCCATCTTCCCTCTGGCTTGTGACAGGAGGCTGCAAACAAAACAAGATCATCTTTCTTGGCACCCGGGTCTTATTTACTATTCCATTGATCTGACCTGAAAATTATAGGTAAGATCTATAGGCAAGACAATCAGTGGTAAGATGCTTGGTTTACATGCTAAAGGTCCCAAGTTCAATCTCTGTTCTCTTCAAAAAGGGTTAGGAAGGGAAGCCTGTAAACTTCTGCCAATCACCACCTTTATTAGATGGAACAATAGTCAGATCTGATGGCAGGAGACACCTACTTTTAAAGAAAATAATGGGATGCAAAACTCTCCCAAACTCACTGGAGTTATTAATAATCTAGAGAAGTAATGAAGCAGCACTACACATTGGGGTGGTGATACTTGTCTACTACTATATCCCGGAAGGCAAGAGCTAGCAGCAAAATATTGTAAAAGGGGGGATATATAACCTTGAAAACTACTAAAAAAGGAAATTGCTGGCCCAGCTATTAGCCTGAGGGCAAACAGCTGCTAGGATTTCTTCCAAAAGAGGTCTGAGCCACACAATCAGTTCCCTTGTAGCTACTGGAGTTAAACAAGGGCAGCCTTGGCAGCTGCTACCACTCACAGGGCAGGAGCCTCAGAGAGGTTGCAGCCCCTCCCTGCAGAAAGCACGTGCATCATTGGAGCCTCCATCTGTTTTGTGAGTTGCCTGCCTTCCCCTTCACCCTTTCGTTTTTTCATGAACAAAAAGGAAGATAAAATGTAAGATACAACTATGCAGACCAGTAATGGCAAACCCTGCCCCATAGAAATGTCAATATACATCCCTTCGTTTACGTGCCTGGGTTAGAACCCTATCACGGAGTATCATATGCTATGAAAGGAGATCTTGGTCCTTGCTTGCTGGCAAAAACCAGGCCAGGCCAATTCGCTTGTTTTCTGCTTGAAGTTGCCTATCGCAGACTGAGAGTAAACTGGCCTCAGTATATTGCTTACTGGCCTGTTTGTTGTCAGCAACTATAATTCAAGTACCCCCTTTTTAAAAAGAAACAACAACAACATGCTCCTATGAGCTTTTTAAAATGTGTTTATTTTCTGAAAATCGATTACATAAGTGGGCTTCATCAGCTATAGTGCAGATGCTCATGTGTATGCGTATGTATACTAAAGCTTACAATGTATTTGTATCAGAAGTATTATTTTGACAAGAGAAGTCTTCACAGAACAACCTAGAGAAAAAATTACTAAGAATTACACTGAAGTCATAAGCGGGCCATGCATGAAGTTTTTAGCTCAAGGGGAACCCTTCTAATGTAGCAATTGGAATACCTAAAGACACACGCCATGAATTCAAATCCCCCACTTGCTTACTGAATGATCGTGAAATACTCTGCCTCTCTCAGGAGATTAATGGGAGGATGACAATGTGGAACAAGAAATCACATTCACTAAGCATAGTGTCTCTTGGAGAAAAGGGTATAAATATTTACGTAAGTCAGAGGAGGCAATCTAAACATATTCACTTTTAACAAGTATAACAAATGGAAAGAGGGGCACATAACTAAGGCAGAATATCAGCAAATAGCCCCAGCCTGCAAAGATGAAGTGAGGAAAGCTAAGGCTCAAAATGAACTAAGGCTTGCGACAAAAGTCAAAAATAACAAAAAAAAAGCTTCTTTCAACATGTAAAAAACAAGAAAAAAGTCAAGGAAATGATTGGTCCATTAGTGGGAGAAAGTGACAAGAAGGTGATAAGCAACAGGGAGAAAGCAGAACCATTTAACTCGTTTTTTTGCATCTGTCTTTACACAAAGGAAAAAAACAGCCCAACCTATAAAAAACAGTACCATAAAAAACAGATTAGAAACACAAGTTAAGATAGGCAAGAAAATGGTAAGTGAGCACCTGTCCAGCCTAGACGAGTTCAAATCACCAGGACCAGATGGATTACACCCCAAGGTTCTCAAAGAATTGTCAGATGTGATCTCAGAACCACTGAACTATATCTTTCAAAGATCCCGGAGCACTGGGGAACTACTAGAGGACTGGAAAAGAGCTGATGTAGTTCCCATCTTTAAAAAAAAAAAGGGGGGGGGGAATGTATCTAGGAATGTACAGACCTATCAGCCTGACCTCAATACCTGGGAAGATGCTGGAAAAGATAATCAAACAATGAACCAGTGAACACCTAGGGGCAAACAAAGTCATAACCAAATGCCAACATGTTTGTCAACATCTTCATCAATGATTTGGAAGAGGGGATAGATGGGGAACTCATCAAATTTGCAGACGACACCAAGCTGGCAACACTCCAGAAGACAGGCTTAAAATACAGAAGGATCTTGACAGACTTGAACACTGGGTGCTATCTAACAAAATGAAATTCGATGGTGAAAAAAGTAAGGTTCTACATTTAGGCAAGAAAAACCAAATGCACAGGTGTAGTATAGGAGGTACTGTGCTTAATAGTAGTAACTGTGAGAGGGATCTTGAGAGTCCTAGTGGACAATCACTTAAATATGAGCCAGCAGTGTGCTGCAGCTGCCAAAAAAGCCAACACAGTGCTAGGCTGCATTAACAGAGGGACAGAATCAAGATCATATGAAGTATTAATACCACTTTACAATGCCTTGGTAAGGCCACACTTGGCATACTGCATCCAGTTTTGGTCACCACAATGTAAAAAAGATGTTGAAACTCTAGAAAGAGTACAGGGAAGAGCAACAAAGATGATTAGGGGACTGGAGGCTAAAACATATAAGGAACGTTTGCTGTAATTAGGTAAGTCTTGTTTAATGAAGAGAAGGACAAGGGAAGACATGATAGCAGTGTTCCAATATCTCAGGGGCTGCCACAAAGAAGAGGGAGTCAAGCTATTCTCCAAAGCACCTGAAGGCAGGACAAGAAGCAATGGATAGAAACTAACCAAAGAGAGAAGCTACCTAGAACTAAGAAGAAATTTCCTGACAGTTAGAACAATTAATCAGTGGAACAACCTTCCTCCAGAAGCTGTGAATGCTCCAACACTGGAAGTTTCAGCCATTTGTCTGAAATGGTATAGGGTTTCCTCCCTGAGCAGGGGTTAGACTAGATGACCTCCAAGGTCCCTTCCAACTTTATTATTATTATAAAACGTGAAAGAGGCTGAAGAGGTGAATTAGGACATTCTAGTTTGAAGACCTTCCTCGGAGACAAACTTTCAGAAATGCCTCTAAAAACCTCAAATGTCAAGAGAACTTAAAAATGTAAATGTGTAACCTAAACACCGAAATGTCAAATTGTCCCGGCACAGAACTTTGATTTTACTAATGCTGTGCCAACTTCCTGAATTGTGAATGTTCGGTTTTTCCTTTTGAACATTTGGTTTGGGACTAATATTTCTGAAGTTCCAGAAATGCAAGGTGGGTCGTGATTGATGTAATGCTTTATGTAATGAGGCAGAATGGGAAGTAAACAGCTTGGTAATGAAATTCAAAGATGACACCAGATCCAGCAGCATTTGTAAACAAGCACAATGGGGGAGAGAAAGAGATGCTGATAGCTCTTAAACTAGAAAGAAGAAGGGAAAAGTGGAAGAAACAGGGCTTGCATCATTTAGCACAGAAGCTTTTAAAAAAAGGAACCTTGAAGACAGATGTTACTTGAAAGGATCCCGTGCCAAAAAGCTGCTGCTGCTTGAAATGTTTAAGAATCCATATTACAGGAATGTGTTGTCAAACATTGGAAGCCTGAGACTATACACTGCACAGTGCTAACGGAGTAGGCGTGGCCAGGTTCCCTTCCCAGAAAAATGTGGCCAAATCCTAAAAGGCATGAATGTCAAGGTTGGAATACTGGGCCAAATGCCGGTGTGGCTGGAGGCCCGGCTTTAGTGTGATTAGTCACAACTTTTATAAACCACAGGGGATGGAATGCACAAGCAGTGCTCTATCTGGGCTCTATGCTCTGCAATACTAAGATGTTTTATATAATTTTTGATACACTGGCCCCATTACTTTGATCTGGATTAGCGAATACATTAAGCTGTAATTTTACTTCCCCCCCCCCTCTCCTTTAGAAAAATGGATTTTTCTGCAACTTCACTGAAATCTGCCTTCCAGTTTTCTGAAAGATTATTCCCGCACCGCAGAAAAAGATAGTTCTATTTTATACTTCTTCCTTTTTTTTTTTGTTTTACAATTTCTTTCGTAGTATCTGAACTTCCTTTCTTACTATGAGGTGTTTGAGAGTTCTTGTAACTTTGGTGGATCCATTTCCATGGCTGCTTATGATAAAAAGTGCTGTGGAATGAATCCCTTCATGATGTCATTATTTGAATTGTAATTAATTGTAATTAAATTCTGCATATCAATAGATATGGGATGCTGCATATCAATAGAAATGATCACATTATGCTTGATTCTTGGCCATTTTATAATTATAAAAAAATTGCCTTAAAAGGGATTTTTCCTTCCTGGAGGGAAAAAAAAGTAAATTTACTTCATTTCCTCCAAAATGAAGTAAAAAGATTGAAAAGCACGGAAGAAATTCTCTCTATTCTATAAAAATATTTTTTCTGTACTAAATCAGAATATCCCTTTAACTGAATATGTAGGGTAATCAGAAAATGATGTATTTTGGTGCTGTGTTCTGCAAAAGATGGAATTTCTTTTGATGTAAGCTTAGCAGATTCTGACCTAACGCTTTCAACAGTCAGATCAAGTTATAGAAATAATGTAGAATATTAAAAATTTGCACAGTCCTTGATTTACTGCCATAATTGAACCCAGAAATACAGTTATAAGTTGTTGCAATCATTAAGCAGATCATTTCATGACCAGATCTGATTTTGCAATATTTTTTGTGGTGGTCATTAAATGAATACCATGATTGTTAAGTGAACCATGGTTGTTAAGCAAGTTCATTTTACCCAATGGATGTTTTTGGCCAGTAAATGTGAGAAATCAGCAAAAAATGAAAATGAAAATCAGTCACATGACCACAGGATGCTGCAAGAGCCATAAATGTAAGATCTGTAAGCTACCATGAAACAGTTACCAAGCA